AAAAAAAAAAAAAAAAAGTTCAAACATGTCTTACCAGGTATCAATAACTTATATAACATTATGAAAATAAAAACAATGTAATTTTGCCTCAGAATGAGATATATAAGCTAGTGAACAGAATAAAGCAAGAAACTGACCCAAGTATATGTAGGAACTTGGGGATCTGTTGAAAAACTTTCTAAGGATGAAAGCACTAGTAGGCCTGGCTCTTATGGAGATGTTTCAGACACTATCTATTTACTTTCCCCACAATTCCTGTGGACTCACTGGCCCATCCCACCCACGTGGCCCAGACCCCCTCCTAAACAGCTAACCACACTGCCACACCTGACAGGCACCCATAGCCATTGCCAGAGCCCTTTTAAGGTGCTTTATCTTCCTACGTCTCCCAGAAGGTGGCCTCAGCCAGCCCCAGAACACTTCCTAAACATCCCTGTCACTGGGGTCTAGCCCAGCACATTAAAATACCTACACAAGTTGTAGGCAGACCTCATAGCAAACCCCACTGGAGGCCTGTCTTGCTCAGCAGTATGCTATAGCAGTCACAGCCAGGCCTGTAGCCAGCAAACCCTCAGGTTTCAGAAGCGTCAAGGCTCCAGTCACCAAGTGGCAGCGTCGATTGGAAATGCCCAGAAGTTGCCCATGTGTGACAAATGTGGCACCGGTATCGTCGGCGTGTTTGTGAAGTTGCGAGACCACCACTGTCACCTTGAGTGTTACATGTGCGCTGACTGTGGCACCAACCTGAAACAGAAGGGCCACTTCTTCGTGGAGGACCAAATCTACTGTGAAAAGCACGCCCGGGAGCGGGTCACACCCCCTGAGGGTTATGACGTGGTCACTGTGTTCCCCAAGTGACCCGGCTGGTCTCTTCCTCTCCGCGCTCTGGCCCTCTCCTCTCCTGAAGGTTCTCGCTGACTCTGCTTTTATCCCTGCTCATTAAACACCACGTTTCCCCGCCTCTGCTAACTGACTCACTGGCTGCACGACGCCCGCTTTTACATTAACGGAGGATTGTTTTGTTCTGTGTCCCTTTGCCAGCGTCCCCGGGTCTTCTCTTTACCTCAGTTCATCTCTGCTGCAGTTGGACATCAGCCACATTGGAACCAAACCGAATTGAATATGTCTGACACTGAGTTCATGTCTACTCAATAAATTTATAGACTCAAAAAAAAAAAAAAAAAAGGTTAACACCACACCCAAGTGGGTCCACAACAGTTGCAGCCAGGCCTCTCAGAGGGAGAAGCCAGGGTCCAGCCCCAATTACTAGTGCCCAATAGCTGTCACAGCCAAACAGAGAGCTGCACCAGAGAACAGTCCTACGCAGTAGTGAGTCTGCAGCAATCATAGCCCAGCCACAGCAGAAAGGTGCATTCAGCCCACACAGGGGGTCCTGGGGCAGCTGGCTCAGGCTACAAGAAGGGTTTGTGTTACTGAACCCCAGGTGGGTTACTAAACCCCTTCATGTTTCTGCACAAGGCCACCCTTTAAGATAGAGAGATATAACTGATCTACCAAATACACAGAAACAAAAAGTTGGGCAAAGTGAGGGGACAGAGGGATATGTTCCAAATAAAAGAACAGGAAAAAAAAAAAAAACTTCAGAAAAAGAATTAAAACCAAGATAATTTACTGATCACATAAAGAGTTCAATGTAATGGTCATAAGGATACTCATTGACCTCAACAAAAGAATTAAGGAACACAGTGAGAACAGTGATAGGAACTATAAAAAAGAACCAATCAGAGTTGAAGAATATGAAAACTACACTAGAGGCAATCAATAGCAGATTAGATGACACAGAAGGACCAGTCAGTGAAATGAAAGACAGTGTGATGGAAATCATCCAATCAAAACAAAGAAAAATAGGAGAGAAAAAAAAAAAGAAGATAGCTTAAGGGAACTCTGGAAGAACATCCAATGTATTAACATTCACAAAATAAGGGTCCCAGAAGAAGAGAGAAAAAGGGTGAGAAAAACTATATGAAGAAATATCGAATGAAAATTTCCATAATCTGGTGAAAGAAACAGACATCCAGGGGTGCCTGGGTAGGACAGTCAGTGGAACATGCAACTCTTGATCTTAGGATTCTAAGTTCAAGTCCCACATTGGATGTAGGGATTATTTTAAAAATCTTAAAAAAAGAAAAAAGAAATAAACATCTGAATCCAGAAAGCAGTAAGAACCCCAAATAAGTTAAACTCAAAGAGACCCACATTAAAACACATTATAATCAAAGAGTCAACAGTTAAAGAGAGAATCTTAAAAGCACCAAGAAAAACAACTACTTACATACAAAGGAACTTAAAGAATATTGGCTGATTTTTCAGCAGAAAATTCATAGACCAGGAGGAGTGCAATATATAAAAAGTACTGAAAAAAAAATTATCACCATTATATATAATTATATATTAATTTAATATATAATTATATATATAATTTTTATACTATACCTGGCAAGATTATGACACAGAATTCAAAGAGAGATAAGGAGTTTCCCAGACAAGCAAAAGCTAAAGAAGTTCATCAACACCAAGAAATTTTCCTTACAAGGAACATCTTGTAAGACCGTACAAGAGATGTTCAAGAGACCTCTTAAAATGAAAAAAGAAAAGGTCCTAACTAGAAAGAAGAAATTTATGAAAGAAAAAAATTTCACTGGTAAAGCTAAACATACAGTAAGGGTTATGGATCAACCAGCTATATAACTACTATGGAGATTAAAACAATAAAGTAACAAAATAATCTAGACCTATAATAATTAGCCAAGGGATACACGAAATAGTGAGATGCAAAATAGGACATCAAAAACTTCAAATGTGTTGAGGGAGAGTAAAAATGTAGTGCTTTTAGAATGCACTTGAACTTAAGCGACCATCAAAATAGACTGCCCCACATATAGGACATTATATAGGAACCTGATGCTAACCACACATCAAATACCTATTACAGAAACACAAAAAATAAAGAGAAAAGAATCCAGGATGGCTCAGTCAGTGAAGCCTTCTGCCTTTGGCTCAGGTCATGATCCCAGCGTCCTGGGATTGAGCCCCAAATGGGACTCGGCTCACGGGAGGGTCTGCCTCTCCTTCTCCCTCTGCCTGACACTCTGCCTACTTGTGCACGCTCTCTCTCTCTCTCTCTCCCTCTCTCTCCAATAAATAAAGTCTTTAAAAAAGAGAGGGAGAGAGAGAAAATAATCCAAGCATAACACTAAAGAAACTCACCAAATCACAAGGGAAGAGAAGGACCAAAAAAAAAAAAAAAAAAAAACAAGAAAACAATCAACAAAATGGCAATAAGTACGTATATATCTATAATTACTTTAATTTTAAGTGGACCAAATGTTCCAATCAAAATACATAGGGTGGCTGAATGGATTAAAAAACAAAATAAAACAGACCCACATATGTGATTCTACAAGAGATTCACTTTAGATCTAAAGATACACACAAGCTGAAAGTGAAGGGACAGCAGTTTTCCCATTCAAATATAATAAAAAAACAAAGCTGGGATAACTAATACTTACATCAGGTGAAATAAATTTTTTAAAATAAAGACTGTAACAAAAGACAGAAAGAGGATGTACCACTTGTGAATATCCATGCACCCAACACAGGGATAACTAATTGTATACACTTGATCTTAGCCAAAAAGCCAAGAAGCAATGGGGGGCAACTAAATGTATAAAGCAAGTACTGACAGACATAAGAGAAAAACGGACAGTAATACAAGAGTAGAGGACTTTAGTACCTTACTTGTATCAATGGATCATACAGATAGAATGTCAATAAGAAAACATTGGTCTTCTATGACATTAGGCCAGATATCTGGCCCAATGTAATATTATATAATGTTATATATTATATATAAATATTATATGTAATATTTATATAATAAAAAATAATACATATTATATATTATAAATAAAATTTATTAATACATTTATTAAGGTGAACTTAATAGATGTATATAAAACATTCATCCAAAACCAGAAGAATTTGCATTCTTTTAGATGCACAGAGGGCATTCTCTAGGACAGAGCAGATGTTAGGCCACAAAACAAGTCTCAATAAATCTAATAAGGATGAAATCTGAGGGGCGTCTGGGTGGTTAAGTGGGTTAAAGCCTCTGCCTTCGGCTCAGGTCATGATCCCAGGGTCCTGGGATCAAGCCCTGCATCGGGATAGGGCTCTCTGCTCAGTGGGGAGCCTACTTTCCCCTCTCTTGCTGCCTGCCTCTCCGCCTACTTGTGATCTCTGTCAAATAAATAAATAAAATCTCTAAAAAAAAATGAAATCTGATTAAGCATCTTTTCAACCACAGTGGTATGAAACTAGAAATCTATTCTAAGAAAACTAGAAAAACACAAACATGCAGAGGCTAAATAACATGCTACTAACTAAATAACCAATAAGTCAATGAAGACATGAAAGAGGAAATAAGAAACCACCTTGAGGCAAATGAAAATGGAA